GACAGCTAAATGGCTGTAAACACTGCCAACTGCCAGATCACCAGAGGTTATGGGCATAGTGAAATAATTAGTGTTATGATGTCTCTAAAGAAATATTTACTGACACCTTCTCTTGATTACAGAAATAGGGTTTCATATTTAATCTACACATATAATTTGGCTCATAGAATAGCATGCAGGCAGTTTGTGTGGCAGGATGCCAGCCAAGCAGCTGCTGGCAGCATTTTGTGACAGACAGCCTTTGCAAGAGGTATTCAAGCTAGGACAGACCCACTCAATGGCAGAGACTACCTGGACTCTGTCTCAGTAACAGCTCTACAAGGATGCACTGTGGCTTACAGTCCAAGTCATGTGTCTAGGGGCTGGGCAGGCAAACAGTGTATCTGGCAGGGCAGCCAATCTGACCTTAAGGTTGGCCAGTGATAAACAGCAGCTAATGGCTAGTCTGAACAGCTACAGCCACTCTTTGCTGCAAAAGTTACATTCATTTCCCAATTCTGTTTAAATTTGTATTGTTTGTTTATTTAATAAAGTTTGGCTTGGTACTAAACTACCCTGGCTTGTAAACTCATCCTTTGGGCGAACCTTTGGCCATCTGAGCTCAGTTCCTTTAGCCCTCCTAACCACACATGGCAGTGTCTGGGTTTTTTGCTAGAGGATTGTTGGCCCTCCTAAGCAATCACAGCCCACACCAAAGGTCACACCTCTAAGAACCCCTCTTCTTTGCCCTAAAAAAGGAAAGTGCCCCCCTTCCAGCTGTGTTGGAACAAAGGGCTATTCATACTCTCCTGCTGCAAAGAGGAGGACAGGACATAGAGGAAACACTCAAATCCTTATCATCAGTGTATTTACTGGTGTTTCATTTCTGGATGCACATTGTTCTAATACTGACTAAACATTGCTTTCTCTTCTCTGTTTGGGTCAAGCGAGAATTGCATTTGGGCATGTTTCAGTATATTATGTTACAACTTTGGGTGAGGTCAAAATTTATTTGGCTGTTTGAGTCAGGAACATAGGTAGGCAGAGGTATAGATTCCATGTGGAGTTAGGACTGAGGGCATGTCTACACTACTACGCTACATTGGTGCAGCTGGTGAAGACACGATGGGAGAGTGCTCTCCCATTGGCATAATTATTCCACATCCGCAAGAGACTGGAGAGAGTGTGTTCAACGCTTTAAGCCAATGTAACTTACATCGCTCAGGGGCTGTTGTTTTCACATGCCTGAGCGACGCAAATTATATCAACTTAAACAGCAGTGTAGACCAGCCCTTAAGACTCACTTTTTGTGAATCATCCGGTAATAAAATTCTAACATGGTGCTCTGTACCTTGATACAAGCCAAGTATGTGTAGCTGTCCTTCTAACATTTAAGGCATGCAGGAACCGATTTTGAGCTTTACATTTCCTTCACTATTTTCCATCTACTACCAGTGATAATGGTAAATACTGTAGTTCTTGGTGGATCTTTATGAAAAAGTTAGAACAGATCTATACATAAAAATAGTCAGTACTGTACATTCAGTGAGGTATGTATACTGTAGAAAAATTATGTGATTATATCATCCAAGATTCTACCATAACACATATCTACAAGGAGGCCAATTTAAGGTTGCACAGGTAGCCCCAATACTGGTGTTTCCAAACTTGGAAATGTTTGACTTTGTAGCCTTAACATTCTCTTCAACAAAGTTTTTTGTAAGTGATATTCATACAAACACGTCTATATGATATTTTTAAATTTCTGGCTTGTTATTCTGTGGGACTTGTTAGCACACACACAAAAAATGCATAAATGCTAATTATTTTTCCTTAGCTCTAAGCAATACTCTCTCCTCCCATGTAATTAATACATTGTGGGAATTTTTTTTTTTAATTCATCACTTCTTTCCATAAGGAAAATTTGTGGTACTTCAGAAGTTACTTTCCTCTACCTCACACAATCTACAGAGGACTGACCAATTTCAATAATCCATACCACGTTTTACATTTGGTTTCCTTCCATTTCACCCTTCTTTTTAACCCATGAATATATATATATGAATACTCCTACTGCAGCAATGTAAGGTATAGATGAACTGAGTCCACGTGTATTGTCACAGAATACAAACATTAAAAAAAATAGAAGTGAACCTGAATTGTTGCAGGTTAAGGAGAACACAGAGCCACTTTTCCCTTGAAAATTACAGTGGAATAGTTCCAATAAAGGAGAAAATGATTAAGTAATAAAAAAAATATTCATGGTTATTGACAATTGGAAAAAATTTCAGCGCCAACCCACAGAAACAAATTAAATGGCAATAAACTTTGTTAATGCAGAGTTAAGGTTGCCTGGTGACAGCTCATGGCCTCCCAGAATGCCCAGTTCAGCAAAACTCAAGCTTATGAAAACCAGGAAATGCAGAATTAAGGTAAATGCCCCAGCAGACTTAACTCCTGGAGCTGGCACTAGCCACAGGGAATTATGTGCATGCACGCCAGCTGCATTCAGTGTGTTAGATACAGCTGTAATGAATGGTGGAGGATTAAATTGGAGCAGCACAGAAGAGCTGTGATTGCGATATTCAGTCATCTTCAGGGCTTTGGCCCTCTGTGTGTATGTGTGAGCCTCTCTACCTGACCCGTGTGTGTATGATCAAAGGAAAGAGGTACATAGGTACCTTGGGAAATCCAGTATGCCTCATGTTAGTACTACATTGTGTAGAGGCTGCATCACTAGTAGGGCACAGGGGTCTTCTTGCCATGGGTATTGTCAGCAGTTAGGAGGGAAACAAGTGTTCTCTATGAGTTCAATGAAGGGTAAGTGGAAAGTATAGGGTTTGATGGTATCATATGCATAAGGGTAAAGGGACTGTAAAAGAGGCTGAAGAAGTTGTAAAAATATAGTGCATGTGGTGTTCTTTCTGTGAGGTAGGCTAAGCATATGAGTGTACACAGTGCCTATGCAGCACAGAAAGAGAAATGTGTTGGTAGGGGTGGTGGTCAATTGTAGTTTTCACGTAGATGTGCAGTTCAGACACTCCTGGGGACAGGTAATGATAATACCTAGTTCTTACACAGTCCTTTCATCAATTGATCTCAAGGAAGTTAATTACTCCCCTTGCACAGACGGAGAAATTGAGGAGAGTCCAGGTTTCTTGAGACCCAGTCCACTGTTCTCTCCACTAGGCAACATCATTGCTATGCACTTTTTAAGTCACACACACAGGTAGCGAAATGGTGATAATGGCTGTGCTCTGAAATGGTTGGTGTGTAATTGTTAACAGCCAGTGAGAGAAATCTCAGACCGTTCTTCGTCCCAAAAATGTGACAGTTTTATTACAAGGTACTCACAGTACCTTTAAACATGCAAGAGAAGACTGGTATATATCTTTTCTCCCTCCCCGCTTCTCCACTGTTTCCCACCATATATAGCTCTCCCTACCACCATTTCCACCTCACCCTCTCCCACTCCTGTCACATTAAGCCATTGGTATTTTAGAAGCCAGGTGATCACAAAATCCATTGATAAAACCTGAGGGTTTTTTCCTCAGACACACTTACTCAAATGACCCAAAATTTAGATCACTAACCCTACAGTACAACACCCTCCCCTGCGTGCACCGCACCCCCCAACATTCTGGAGATGAATGGAGATTTTGGAACACTTAGAAAAATTGTCCTTTAAACATTGGTTTAATCTTAACTGTAGCAAAGACTTTGCAATACTATTTAAGATTTTATCAGCGACTACTTTGCTATATGCAAATTCCCAGCACAGAATGTTCCTGGAAGTGGCAAGATCTGAGAGGTGTGAAGTGGCTCATTCATCTTAACAGGATGCTCTCAACTGAATGACCACACCCCACGGAGATTGATACGGCCTGAAACAACTGTTCGGAGACATGTGAACTGCTCCATTCATGTTGGCTGGTGTTCCCATCCTCCCTCCCCAGCGTTGCAGAGCCTAACGCTGTGTCTACTACACCGCCTTTAGCAACCCGGCTGTGCTAGTACAGCCGTGCCACGAACAAATGCGCAGTGCAGCCACTGCTGGTCAGCAGCAGAGAGCTCTCCTGCTGGCAAAACACTTCCACCCACAACGAGCGGCATTAGTGTGGTCGGCAAGAGAGTGCTCCTGCCGACCAAGCCCTATTCACACCAGCGCTTGTCGTCAGCAAAACTTTTGTCTTTCAGGGAGAAGGGGGGTTAACACCTCTGAAAGACAAAAGTTTTGTCTTTCACTTGCCAGTGTAGACAAAGTCTATGATAAGCATCAATTATCATAAGCATCTCCTTAGCCCAGTCACGGCAGTATGTGCATGACTCCAGTATGTCAGTAGTGGGCTCTCCACCAAAGGAGCAGGCTTCCCAAGATCCTGACTCACATGGGGGAGGGGAGGGGGAAGAAGCCCAGACACCCCCAAAGGGGCAGGCATCCCCAGAACCCGGCTCACGAGGAGGGTGTCAAACCCCCATATATGGTTTCCCCCTCTCCTGAGTGTGGCACAGACTCCCCCTAGAGGGACAGGGGCAGGGAGGGGGGCTCAGATACCCCCTAAAAGGGCAGGAGCTGCCCAGATCCCAGAACACAAATGAAGACAGGGAGAGGGGCTCAGAATCCCCCAGATTCTGGCACACAAACAGAAGGAGAGAGTGTATGGGTCTGACAAGTGCCCTGGCCTCTACTCTCCCTCAGTCCTCCTGCCACTATCCCCTCTCCCTTCCCAGTATCCCCCTATCCTCATTTGAGACTCCCAACTCCTCTCCAGCGATCCCCATTTATGCCCCCTCACTGTAGTCTGGCAATCCTCTCCCCCTACTCCACAACCCACTCAACTCTCCCCTCCCAAAAAGAATTCACTTGTCCATCGACTTGACACTGGCTGCTAGATTCAGGATCAAGGGCTTACTGTTCATGCCCTTGAGCTAACCAACTGCAGTGAAAGCTATCCACTTAAATACTCTTTGGCTCTCTCTTTGCACTTGCTCAATGTAATCTGTTTGCTCTTGCATTTTAGGCATAAACCTAACCGGAGAAGCAAACTCTTTTGCTAACAATGTTCTCATTTTGCTCCCCACCCTCCAAAGAGCTAAATGGGTGCCATGAAATTTCTGGGGATAACCTCAAGTGAGTGCAACTCTTGAGCCAGGATTAGAACCATGCTTTGATTCCCTGGTATGGGCAGACACACATTGGCAATACAAGTCAACTTGAAGAAAAGCTGTTTTATTTTCAGAGCATTTTACACCTCAGGAACCCCTTACTCAACTGATTCCAAATTTGGACCACTGACTGAACCCTCGCATCACTATGAGGTAAACCAAATATCAAGATAATCCAATTAACTGTGTGGATTTTATAGCATTTAAGATTAAAGCTTCAACAGAAAACTGGTCTTAACCCAACTGTAGCACAGCTAGCATTCCACTACAATCTAGTGTTTAAAAGGAGACAACTCTACATCCTTTATCCTAGTACCCTGAATAAAGCGAGATTCAAAAAAGTGAGAAGTTCCTCAGTGTAAATAGTAACTTTTTGAATTTGAATAAAATAATTATTTTACACCAGTTTGGATGCCCATGAAAACTTTTGAGAAAAAACTGTCCCATCACTAGAAAGCTGTAAAGCTCCAGGCAATGAAGCTTTTCAAACTTCACAAGACTCTTCTCAGACTTTGATGCCACATATTACATTTTCAATTTCACACCCTGCATTCACTTTGAAGTCTTATTCATTTTTATGGCACTACTGCCTTGGGCATCCTTCAGATCCTTAAATAACAAGGGGAACTACACTATCAATATCTGTGCCACAGTATATCACACATCCTGATTTACACATAGTTTTTGTTTCAGTGTTACTATTTTGGGGGCAAAGAGAGTTATACCAGGACAGCCTCTAACACAGATGCAGTTATATCAATAGAAAAGGTGCCTTCTACCAGTACATCTTATTCCCCTTCCTATACAGATATAAGCATACTGGTATGCTTCCATCCATACGTGCATCCACATTAGGAGAGCTGTACCACTTTAATTATACCATAATAGTTAAATCAATATGTGGGTGTATAGACCAGCTCTAAGTCACCTTAAGGCTTACTCTGCTATAGAAGAGAAGGAAACTAAAATCAAAAGCTTAGTAGTAAAAACCTATCACAGTATAACCACCCATTATTTTGCTTAATGTTCAGTATTTTCTACAGATACGTAACACTGCATTAACAGTGTAATATCATGCACAGCAATTCACTGTATATAGTGTCAGATTAGATTTAGGACACTCAGTTGTCATTGTCACAGACCCACAGGATGGGTGCTACACCACCAGCTTTGGAACAGTCTCCTGGAGGAACTCACTCAGTGTGCCAGAGCCCCAAGGGGATTCACTCTTCCTTCAGGATAGGCCACGAGGCCTCATCATTTCCTAAGACTGAACTTCTGTGGCTTCAGCACTCCGGCTTCACATCACAAGCTCTATTCAGTGAGTCCAACTGAGACAGACTCCTGATAGAGAATTTGTATGTTCTTCAGGAATTAAATGCATCTCACCAAGCATTTGCAGAGACACTTAAGCTACGTTGTCAAAACCGAAGGGTTTATTCGTCAGCTGGCACACAACATAGGAAGTCCTCAGGTTAGCATAGAGAAATAAAGGTTAAGGCATAGATCATTCTGGTTAGCCCAGAGTGCCCAGCCAAGCTGTAGGAAACCCCAGGTTCAGGTTCTGTCTCTCTTCATCTCACCTCCTTGTCAGTCCCTCTGTGAGGACCCTAACTCCCTCCAGCAGCCAACATTTAGCCCCCTGCTTCCCCCTCAGACCTTCCCAAACTTTTGTTCTGGAGCTAAGAGATCTTGCTCAGCTTCCTTGCTGAGAGGCCGGGAAATCCATCTCTGTCTTGGTCTATGGTTGATAGGTGTCAATGTCCTGGTGATTGGATTTGCCATTGTCTTCTCAGACTCTCCACTGATATGGGATCAGCCTTGACCAGTCCTTTTTAATGGCCATTCACATTCAGCTAGGCAACATTCATACCCATCTCTCTTAGCCTACCCTGAGAGCAAACAGTAATTTTTCTCTCTCACTGAGTAACCATGTGCATTATAGGGAAAACTGAGGCACACAGAAGATTCATAGTCTTATTACAGAAAATTCCTGCTTCATCACAGTCATATTAGGCTTTTAATCAAACACTGCAGTTATCACAAAAATAAAAAAAGTATGTTATCTACATACTAGAAATGGTTAGTTTCTTCATTAACCAATGAAGAAAAAGCAGCCAAAGCCTAAATCAGTCATTAAAATTATGAAGTTTTATCTACAGAACAAAGGGTGTTTGAAGGCTACAACAACAGATCAGAAATACTTCAGAGAAAAAGGAGGATGGTCCAGTCATTAGGAGACTAACCTATGAAGACCGGAGACCAATTCCCTGCTCCTCTACAGACTTCCTGAATCACCCTTGGCAAATCACAGCTTGTCTACATCTCAGTTCCTCATCTGTAAAAACAATAATAGCACCTCTCTACCTCATAAGACTGTTGTGAGGAAAAATGCTTTGAAGATTGGGAGGCACTCATTTGTAGTTACACCCAAGATGCATCTACACTAGAAACACTACAGCAACAGCTCTGTAGTGTAAACATTTACTACAATGACGGAAGGGGTTCTTCTGTCACTGACATAAATCCACACCTCCAAGAGGTGATAGCGCAACAGAAGAAACCACAGCTTAGGTAAGCTTAATTACATCACACAGAATGTGAAATTTTTCACAATTCTGAACGAGCTAGTTAAGCCCCGCTAATTTTTTAGGGTAGATCAGCCCATAATAATTACTTATGTTTTAAGAGATCAGCTACCACTTCAAGGGTCAGGAAAAAATTCTGCCCATATCATGCCCTCCCCTCTCCACAAAAAAAAGGGTAAAATAGGAGAAGAGGGGAGGGGTGGGTTCCTGTCCAGTTTTAGTGCTGAAGTTGTTCATAAGTCTGTCTCACTGTAGTGATATAGAGTTATCTGGATGACCTTTTTAAGTTACCTAGTTTTACCTACTTCCTTCCCTCCTCTCCTCCCCACCCTATCCCGCTCCAGTTATGGAAACCCAAGGTTAACTTTCTGGTTGGTTATCTTCTTTAGGTTTTGGTATGGACTTGAAATGAACACCTGTGGTATTGATGTCCTTAACAGATTCCTAAAAGGCTTATGTATGTATTGGTCAGGACAGCTGTGCAACACTGATGTTTTGTCATTCCAATGAGAGAGTGTTAATTAACAGAGTACAATGGAGTAAAACATCATTGCGTGCAGAAACTCAACATCCCAAAATGTACATAGCATAGCACTTCTCATGTGACCAAGAGGAAATCCGCAGGCATAAAGTAATTCACACAGTGGCTCTAATATAGGGCCTTTGGCTACTACCTTTCCAGCTTTTCTGAAGCCAATGCAGTCACTGTAGTGTCATGTAGTAATTGTTATGTGACTATGTACGCTTCTTGAAGTTTGCATGCTTATTAACTATTAACTCCAAAAGTATAGTTTACTAATTTTCTGAAAGCAGTTAAATGGCAAAGTGGGTAAAAGGGTTAACCCTAAGTTTAAAAAAATATATATATTTTTTTGTTTATGAAGAGCTGAAATCTGAAGATAGGTTCAAAAGGGGTCTGCTTATATGCACGACACCCCTACTTTTAATTCACCAAAACCCCAAGAATATGATTAAATTAAAAAGCCTATGCAAAGATTTCATGAGGAAAAAAGGCCTCAAAAACAAATTGTCTAAATAAAAGGCATGGTAAAACAAGATACCTTTAATAGGTTTGATGTTAATATTAAATATTGGGATAAATTTAATGTTAATAAAGTACCCCTGTAACAATGTATAGGGTGTATGATTTTTCAAAAAAAAATTAAGGTCATATGGTAATGATGCTTCTCAGCTGTTACTTGGGAACAAACTTAAAGCTTAGCACTGCAGAAAAAACCATTACAACTTGGTCTGCTGTATAAGAAAAACTGAGGTACACCACCTCATAAATTTAATAACTGAACAGCGGGATAATTCACCCTAAACCCTTAAAAGGTAGAAGCCATTGAAACCTGGCCTGCCTATAGAACAAAAACACAGGAAACTCTGGGGGTAATTCCTCTGTTTTGCCTGCAATCAGCAAGGGTATTTGTAAAAGAAAGGGATATTTTAAGCGATAATCTTCCACCCCAAAAGGAGTAGAAACATGTTCTTTTTGTCTTTCAGAAAATCAGAAAAAGCTGGTACCAGCTAAAGAGCAACCCAGAATAACATGAACCTACTGTCACGACAAAAATTGTGTTTTGTGTTTTATGTTTTGTCTTGTGTTGTTTGTCTTGTTGCTAGCATTGTTGTGTATTGTGTTACAAAAAAAACCTACTGCATTAGGCAAAAAAGAATTAATAAGCATTTTAACTGTATGTACAGAAACCAATGTTGCAGAAGGGCAGAGGTCAAGGAATGCCAGTCTGTTAACAGGAAAAACATCCTCAGGTAGCAGACACCATATTAGGAGGGATTGTTTTTTGGAGCAGGGATTATAAATACTGTAACCCTGGATATAATTAAGAATAAATTAAGTTCCTTGTCACAACTGCAAGATAGTCTCATTCACAAACAGGCAGATACTACTGTGGACTTGGTAAAAATAGGTCTGGGAAACCTGAAAGCAACATGGAATATGTGGTGGTGGTTAAACACCACCACCTGGCTGCTGTATAAACAACAAAGAAAATTAGGGAATAAAACTACCTTGGCCATAGGATGTACTGAAATGCAAATTCTTAGTTTAGCATTACTTGAACACAAAATGTTTTGGGTAATACCTGGAAATGTTAGGGTATTAACGCATCTTTTAAAACAATGGAAGAGGTCCTTGTTTGACAGCTACAAATATGAATGGATGCAATATGTTTCCAGCATGGTTAAGCCTAATTTGTTATTCGGTGAAATTATTGTTAAAATTGCTCACCGACAGTCTGTGGAGACAGAAATATGGAAAGTGAGCCAGCTCCCAAAATTGACCATGGGATCCCCCGGATTATGGGTCAGTGGGCTAGGAAAAAGGAGAAATTATTGAATACCCAAGCATGCATGGAGTGGAGCTGGCCACTAGATTGATCTGGAATCTGAACTGGTAACTATAACATCAACTGGTGGGACAGTGTGTGCATGTGTGTGTGATTGAATGCATATGCTAATTGTTGTATCTCCAATAAATGCAGTATATTGCCTTTTCCCCTGAAAAAGATTCCATGTGCTTCTTATAAGCCTAACAATGTGACTAGTTTTGTTTCTTTTTTGTGGATAACAAAGACTTGAAAGGTCACCCCCACCCAACCTGAAAAACATGAGTAGTCAGAAGGCAACAAATCTGGAGTTTCTAGTCCTCACCTACGTTAAAAACAAACCCTAAATTTCTAGACAAAGACAGCTTAATTTATTTACAAACATTACAAAAGTAAAAACCGTCATTTAAAAAAAAAACCTACTTACTGAGCTGACACCTAGTCAGATTTGCCTCTGTATCTGCACAAAAATTCTACCTTGGCATAGGATTAGAAATGTGAAATTTCAGACAGATTCAAATTTTGATCATGCGATGGGGCTAGTAAGCACTAGGCTTATAATGGAAAGCTAGCTTCAACCTAAAGTATGTAGAGTCTAATATCTTTAAAAACCCCACAAGCTTTCCACAAAATGAGGTAACAAGTTTAAAATCTAATACATTAATCTGCTGTATCTAAGCCAACTGCTAGCAAGATTTTTTTGTCAAGGGTTTTATTGGTTAGAGCAAAAAAATGCAGAAGCATTATTCTGGGCAATAAAAATCAATGTATCAGCATATCACTCTTTGTGCCTTATTAAACATGTGGCAACTTAAGTTATCATTACATTTTATTATTATAAAAGTTACATTTTAAATTACTCTGTAAAATATTTAATGGGGCTTCTGGGTTATGGGACAAGAGATAGATGTGCAATTATTTATTAGACACAGCAATATCTTAAGTTTGTGTTTTTCTATCTATTATCAAGATCCATCCAATGATCAGACTGCAAATTCCCTCATCAGTTTTCCCAATCACTTTATCTACTTGCATTCAAAAAACATCAGAGTTTTTACCCACTTCATTACTCTCAAATACACGTTTGCCTTTCCAAATTCCTCCCATGTCATTCTGTCAATGTTGTTTATATCTAACCATCACTATATTGCCATATTTGCATGACACTCCACATTTCTGCAGCCTTCCTCTCCTCTTTACTCGTATCATGAGCACTTCCAACAGATAATAAAGGCAACACTTTAATTTGACAAAATACTATTTTTTAATAGCATATGTGCAAAGATATACATATTGTCTCAAGATCCTGGATACCACTGACCAAAGGACATTTTCTTAAGACTAATGCTTTCGGTGAAAAATAACAGTTTACTGATATAGTAAACAAACTGTTGCTACTATGTTGATGCTTCTGGGAATGATATCACAGGCGAAGGAATCAACTCATACCTTTAGGTGGTAAGTAATTAAGTTGTTAGTGGTAAATAAAGTACCTAATTTTCATATTTCTCTTTTAAACAAAGACATAGTTTTGTTTTCTCATAGGCCTTTTAATGATCTATCTGTTACTAAGAAGGCCTCAAAACCTGCTTGTGGCCACAACACACAAAAACAATGCAAAAAATTAAATTCTATTAAATTGAAGGGTACAATTTTAATCCTTAAAACAACATACCCATTTGGAAAATTAACAAGGAAATACAGAAAGATACCAAAGCATGTTCAATATTATGCTAGTTTTATCAGTAAGATTTTTTTTAAAATAAGTTTCATTCTGGGACACTTAAAAAAATCTAAATTATCTCAAATAATCTGTCATCTTTTTAACACTTTCTCAAGCAGAATTAATGTGAATTTTCCTCTTTTTAGTTGTATTATGCATAATATAGCTTAGCACATAGTTCTGTCATTTGGCTAAAAAGTTACATTAATTATCTAATAAAAAGTAAAGTTTCACGATTTTCAGCCTCAACACATTCCTACTGATAACAGTGTAAAAATATGTGTAATTTAAGTTTTAAAGTAACAGGCTGAGGTACAGTCTTAGGCCTACATTACAAACTTATGTTGACTCAAGTTACACCAGCATACAGCCACTGCAGTTAATACATGTTTTATGTGCGTGCATACTTGGCTCCTTGTATCAGCAGTGCAGGTACTCACCAGGAGTGCTCGTATCAATGCATAGTGAAGTGTACCTTGGATAGGTATCCCACAATGTAACCTGCCACCATTCACTGCACTTGTTGGAAAGATTTGGCAATGCATGATGGGGCCGAAACAAGTCATGCAGGGATGACTTGGACTGCAGGGTAAGTTTTCCAGTTTACAATGGTCTCCACCCCATAATGTTACTTGTATTCCATAGTTTTCATGATTTTTTTCAAATGCCCACAAACCTCCGTGGCACTCCTTGCTGTCCACCATTTCTGACAGAAGCACTGACCTTGCACACTCTGCACTACTGTCATGAGCGTTGCAAGCACAGGACACACAATCCTGGAATATTTGCAGAGTCGCAAGAAGAATCAAATCAGTGGGGAACATGATGATTCCTTGGAAGACAGATCGCTGTGGGACACAGCGAGAACCAATTCACGGTTGTTGGTGGCGTTCATGGAGGAGCTGCAGCTGGTTGAGTGCCACTTCTGAGTTCAAGAAAAAAAGCACTGATTGGTGGGGTTACACCATAATGTAAAAAGAAAAGGAGTACTTGTGGCACCTTAGAGACTAACCAATTTATTTGAGCATGAGCTTTCGTGAGCTACAGCTCACTTCATCGGATGCATACCGAGAATATGAAACAATACCTCCTCCCACCCCACTGTCCTGCTGGTAATAGCTTATCTAAAGTGATCATCCCATGGGCCATTTCCAGCACAAATCCAGGTTTTCTCACCCTCCACCCCCCTACACAAATTCACTCTCCTGCTGGTGTTAGCCCATCCAAAGTGACAACTCTTTACATAATCAAGTCGGGCTATTTCCTGCACAAATCCAGGTTTTCTCACATCCCCCCCACCCCCATACACACACAAACTCACTCTCCTGCTGGTAATAGCTCATCCAAACTGACCACTCTCCAAGTTTAAATCCAAGTTAAACCAGAACATCTGGGGAAAAAACAAGAGGAAACAGGCTACCTTGCATAATGACTTAGCCACTCCCAGTCTCTATTTAAGCCTAAATTAATAGTATCCAATTTGCAAATGAATTCCAATTCAGCAGTTTCTCGCTGGAGTCTGGATTTGAAGTTTTTTTGTTTTAAGATAGCGACCTTCATGTCTGTGATTGCGTGACCAGAGAGATTGAAGTGTTCTCCGACTGGTTTATGAATGTTATAATTCTTGACATCTGATTTGTGTCCATTTATTCTTTTACGTAGAGACTGTCCAGTTTGACCAATGTACATGGCATCAGTTTGGATGAGCTATTACCAGCAGGAGAGTGAGTTTGTGTGTGTATGGGGGTGGGGGGGATGTGAGAAAACCTGAATTTGTGCAGGAAATAGCCCGACTTGATTATGTAAAGAGTTGTCACTTTGGATGGGCTAGCACCAGCAGGAGAGTGAAATTGTGTAGGGGGGTGGAGGGTGAGAAAACCTGGATTTGTGCTGGAAATGGCACACCTGATGATCACTTTAGATAAGCTATTACCAGCAGGACAGTGGGGTGGGAGGAGGTATTGTTTCATATTCTCTGTGTATATATAAAGTCTGCTGCAGTTTCCACGGTATGCATCCGATGAAGTGAGCTGTAGCTCACGAAAGCTCATGCTCAAATAAATTGGTTAGTCTCTAAGGTGCCACAAGTACTCCTTTTCTTTTTGCGAATACAGACTAACACGGCTGTTACTCTGAAACCATAATGTAAGTTTGGGATTATAAGCAGTGGCTACGACCTTTCAGATGTACAAGACCACATTACTGGATCCGTGTCCAGCACAGGGACACCCAAATGAGAGCTGCATTGATAGTGGAGGAGTGAGTAGCAATCGCATTGTGGAAACTTGCAATGCCAGATTGCTATTGGTCAGTCACAACTCAATTTGGAATCAGGAAATCCACCAGGGGGACTGTGGAGGTGAAGGAAGCAATTAATGGCCCTGCATACTTGCTACACCGGACTGTGACTCTTGGCAACGTGCAGGACATACTGGATGGATATGCAGCAGTAGGATTCCCAAAGTGCAGCAGAGCAACAGACAGTACGCATATCCCTATTTTGCCACCAAACCACCTTGCTACAGAATACATCAACAGAAAGAGCTACTTTTCTGTGGTTATGCAAGCACTGGCAGATCACCAGGAATGTTTCACTGATATCAGTGTGGGCTGGTCAGGGAAAGTGCAATACATTTGCATCTTCAAGAACACAGATCAGTTCAGAAAGCTGCAAACAGAAACTCTCTTTCCTGAATAATGAATTACCATTGGGAATGTTGTGATTCTGGGAGATCAGCAGTGATCCTGAGGGATCCAGCCTATGCCTTACTCGTGAAGCCGTACACCAGCCACCTCAATAGCACCAAGCAACGATTCAACTACCAGCTCAGCAGGTGCAGGGTGACAGTTAAATGTCCTTTTGGTTGTTTCAAAGAAGGACATTGGTGTTGTTTACTCACCAGACAGGACCTCAGTGAGAATAATATCCCAATCGTTATAGCGGTCAGCTGTGTCCCGCATAATAATAATAATAATAATAATAATGTAAAGAAAAGGAGGAAAAGTTCCCACGAATGGGAGGGCAGAGGTGGAGTGGCTGTTAGTTGACTTTGAACAGACTGATACAAAGGATATTAGAAGAGCCCAGCATGGAGCGATATAGCTCAAGAAAGCTTTGAAAGACTATTTTAAACAGTGAGCTAGAGTACTTTGTGTTGTAGTACGCTCTACCTGGCCCTGTTCTTTTGTGGCCTGCTGTGGTTATTGCTGTACATGTACGAATATAACTTTGTCAATGCACCTATTAATTGTTAGAGCATGCTCTTAGGAGCTGTGCAACACCATGCAGTAACAGGTGTTGCTTTCAGAACTGCTGTGCACTTGGCACCATATGTTGTGAACTAATAAAGATAAATAATGTTCCAAATAGAATTTTATTCTGTAACAAAACCCGTGCAAAAAACCCTATACAATTTTAAAACAAATGCATTAAAAACTTGATAAAACTTAATAAATTAAGAGAACAGAATGTATGAAGGTGAAAGAGCATTCCCATCCATTTAAGCTACACCTACCATGACTGTAACAATTCAGTGTATGGGAAGCTGTGATTGTTTTTAATGTCCCTGGGGTGCAGTGGTAGGGGTAGCGACCCCGATACCACATGGAATGTTGCGGCAGGAAGTGTTAAGGAGGTCCTAATATTGAGTTCTTAATGGGTTGCAGAGCGAGGAAAGCCCGGGATTGTTCTACTTGCAGGTCCACCAGACCTGTGTTTGCTGCCAGAAAAAAACCATTAAGTCCTGCTGCATACTCCCTCTTCTTTTCCTGCTGGGACTCCTGGGCCTCTCCCCTCCCTTTTCTTTCCTTCTTCAGGCTGTCTGCAACGTTCGTTCAGGCCTTGTGCTCACTCTCCGATGCAGTACTGGCTTGCAAGATCTAATTGAACATGTCATCCCAAGTCCTCTTCTTCCTCCTCCTCATCTAGCTCAGGTGTTCCACGGGTGTAAAGGGGGAGACTCTGAAGGCTGGAATGGCAGCAGCTACTGATACAACACAGAGGTACTACAGTCAGTGTATTGACTACAGAAAGCAAAACTTAAGATGCTGAACTCACTGCCCTTGCTCCCCAAAAGTTTGAAGTACTACCTTCTCACTTCTGCTTGCAATTGCTTGTGCCCAGCGCCAGTCACAGCGTCAGCCATGGTGAGTATGGCCTGACTGGGGTCAGGAAAATGGGGAGGGGCAGGGGGGGAGTACTCAGTTGCATGATTCTAGTAGTATAGGGCAATCGCACCGAATACTGGCACCGTTTTCCACAGGCAGTAGTAATTTTAGCTGACCTCTGATTCCTGATGGTACAAAAGACAGAGAGACCACAGCTACTGTTGGCATCCTGTACTGCAGCGATGCCTGCTGAAGTTATTGCTGAGTGGTGTGGAAAAGTGTCTTACCACAGAGAAAGAAATAAGGCAGCCCTCCCTAGAAACCTTCAGATGATGATTGCAGGGTACCTCCATGAAAGTTCCGAGACTTCTCAGGCTGTGTAGAGCCATGGTCAATATACTTAGATCGACACAGGGCAAGTATAGACTATAGATTCAAGGGACACCCCTGTGTACATAAACTGCCCTGCATGCCACCACTTCCCATCCCCCCCTGGCCTAACTCCAAAGGGGACACTAAAGCTGATAGCAACTCTACCTCTCTTGGCTGTACCATTACCTTTTTTAGCATGAGTAAATTAATGAAAAGTCAAAAGATGTGTCCTGCTACTTTGGGAGTGCCATCCCCAGAATTGAAAATTTATCTACACTTACCAGAGGTTCCTTCTCCTGCATCAGGCTCGCCTATGCTCGACTGCTGGGACTAGCTGGACTGCAGTGGAGTCAAGAACAGGTCCTGGCTTCCCCCACAACTTGATTCCCCAGTCACCTGTCCTCCAACCTCCTCTCCATCCTCACTGTTCCCAGCAGATGCCTGGGACTCAGGCTCCTCAGAGACATCCATGGTGTTGCGATGGTGGGGTCTCTGTCAAGTACGGCATGCTTTGTAAAAGCAGCAGGTCTGGGGCTCAGCACTGGATCAATTATTGGCCTCCCTGGCCTTTTAGT